CTCTATATATATATATATATATATATATATATATATATATATATATATATATATATATATATATATATATATATATATATATATATATATATATATATATATATATATATATATATATATATATATATATATATATATATATATATATATATATATATAATGATAAAACAATTAAAATAAAATAAATACGGTATTTTAAAAATTAAAGTAATTTTAGAATAATTATCTACAAACAAAAACCTACATGTCGTGCTATTACAACAGTTAATACGAAATAGTCAAAAAATATGCATATTGTACAATTAAATGAGAATAATTAATAAATAAAATATATTTACTTATTTTTAAAATTGAATAATTATGAGATAATTATATACACAGTAATACTTACCAGTTATACTAATACGACAACTAATACGCAATAATTGAAATAATATAATAATTTACACAAAAAATACGTAATTAATAATTCAACATAATACATGAAATAATACGTAATAGTAACAATAATACAATGTATTATTTAAAATAATACGTAATAGTACCGATAACACAAGAGATTAATTTCAGAAATTTTTTACCGCTCAAAATAAATTTATAGATATTAAAATCATTTATATAAATATAAAATTTGGATTTTCAATCATAGAAAATTGCAAAAAATTAACAAAAATACAAATACTCTTCTAAAAATAATAATTAAATATTTAAAAATAATAGAAAACTATTTTAACTAGTATTAAATTTTACGGTCATTACATCATACTCCTCTTAAAACAAATTCCGTCCTTGGAATTAAAATAACAAGGACGAAATGTAAAGATAGATTTAATTCAACTCATATAAGGTTCAAAATATATTGCATATCCATAAATGAGAAAAGTCATACAAGGCGATTTAAAATAAAATACAAGACATTACAGCTAAGATTCAGGAAATAAATGAGGGTATTGTTGTCGCATCTCAAACTCAGTTTTCCAAGTCGACTCTCCAGGAGGATCTGGGTGTCACATCACACGAACAAGCGAGTCGGTCTTGTTCCGGAGGGTCTTCTCCCTTCGGTCCAGAATCGCCACTGGCTGCTTCTCGTATGTCAAATCGGATCGTACCTCAATCTTCGAGAAATCTACGACATGACTCGGATCTCCGACATATTTTCGCAACTGAGAAACGTGAAATACTTTATGCACTATAGCCAGGGCGGGTGGTAATGCAAGTCGGTACGCCACTTCTCCCACTCTCTCTAATACGTCGAAAGGTCTCACTTATCACGGACTCAACTTCCCACGCATTCTAAAGCGAATGGTACCTCGGTTGGGGGAAATCTTCAGGAACACATGATCTCCTGTCTGAAACTCTAAGTGCCGGTGCTTCGCGTCTGTCCAATGCTTAAATCTGTCATGTGTTATGCAAAGTCGGTCCCGAATGATCCTGACCACATCAACTGATTTGTCAATCAACTCTGGCCCAAAAATCTCCCGCTCACCAACATCATCCCAACTCAAAGGAGAGTGGCACTTCCTCCTATACAATGCTGCAAAAGGGGCAGTAGGAAGGAACCAGAACTGAATATAGTGCAGCAGGAGCTGAATTATGTCCGCTAGAGGCATAATACTAGAAGCTATAAAAACCCTGGTTCTAGTAAACCACAACCACGAGGACCGAAATCATAGCAGTTCAAGAGAAAGAAAGTACCCCGCGGAGCCTGCTACAATTGTGAAAAGTTCGGGCATTTCAAACCCAATTGCCTACTAGGTGAAAAGCAGGAGAATAAGGGAGGCTATAAGCATCCAGAACAAGGGGGTACTAGCAAAAGAGAATTCGTCGGTGTGATAGAATGTAATATTATGATGACGGACATCAGTGGTTGGTGGATCGACTCCGGAGCCACTAGGCATATTGCAAAGGACAAGAATGGAGTTGTAGAATTCACCGAGTTGAAGAAAGGAGAACAGAGAATCTATATGGGAAATAATACATATCTCGATGTAGAAGGTATTGGTTCGTATAGATTGGATCTTGGGGACAGCATTCTTGTCCTCAAAGATGTGTTCTATGCGCCAGGAATTCGGCGCAATCTGATCTCTATTCCCAGCTTGATGAAGAAAGGACTGGAAGTGAGATTCTATAATAACAGGGTTTCTATAGGCAAGAATAATAAAGTGTATGCTATGGGAAAATATGTGCCCGAGCATGAATTATGCATTCTTCCAGTAATTTGTAATAATTCTGATAATAAAATTTTGAATTTGAACTACTTGTCCTGTTATATTTCTGAATCTGAATTGTGGCATTCTAGACTAGGACATGCTAGTATTTTAAAAATGAAAGAAATTATCAGAATGAACTTGCTTCCTGCACTATCTAATGTTCAATTGTCACCATATGAACATTGTTCAACTGGTAAAATGACTAGAAAACCTTTTATTGGTGGACAGAGAGCCAATGAACTTTTAGGGTTGATACACTCGGATATTTGTGGTCCCTTAAGTGTCAAAACTCATAGTAATAAAGAATATTTTATTACTTTTATAGATGATTATTCCAAGTTTGCACACGTCTATCTTATATCCAGAAAATTAGAAGCTTTTAAGTGCTTTAAGAGATATAAGACAGAAGTTGAAAACCAACTTGGATTGAAAATCAAAATTTTGAGAACTGATAGAGGTGAAGAATATAATTCTAAAGAATTTAAAAGTTATTGTATTCAGCATGGAATTAAAAGGCATACAACAATGCCGTATACGCCACAACAGAATGGTGTTGCTGAAAGAAAAAATAGAACATTATTAAATGTAGTTAGATGCATGTTGTCTCATTCTGGTCTCTCTAAAAACTTTTGGGGAGAAGCATTGTTAACTGCAAACTACATTTTAAATAGAATTCCCACCAAATTAGTTATATTTACACCTTATGAATTATGGAATGAGAGGAAACCTAATTTGAGTCATCTCAGGAAGTGGGTATCTATAGCCCATGTTCTCATTCCATGTCAACTTAGAGATAAGTTGGATTTGAAAATAATAAAGTGTAGATTCATAGGGTATTCAGAAAAGTTAAAAGGTTATAAGTTCTACAATAAAGAAAAAGGAGTCATTGAAAGCAGAGATGCTACATTTCTAGAGAATCTAGAGGAAGAGGAACAAGTTCAAGAGGAAACAGAACCTGTAACTGTAATAGATAATGATTATTACAGTGTTGTTCCCACTAATGACCTTGATATTGTGAATGAATCTAACCTTGAAAATGATGAAATACCTATGGAAAATAATGTACCTAATCAATCGGTTGTAGGCAACAAAGGCCAAGAACACAACCTTCATGGATGGATGATTACTATTTGTATTCATGTGAGTCATCCTGTTTTTCGGTAGATACAAATATAGAAGAACAAGATCCCTTAACCTTTTCTGATGCGATGAAATTGCATAAATCAGCTTTATGGCTAGAATCTATGAGAGAAGAACTTGATTCCATAGAAAAGAACAAGGTATGGGAGTTATGTGATCTACCAGAAAATAGAAACGCCATAGGATGCAAATGGGTGCTCAAAAAGAAATATTGTGTTGATGGATCTATTGATAAATTCAAAGAACGGTTAGTTGCCAAAGGTTATAACCAGAAGGCAGGAATAGATTTTCAAGAGACGTATTCTCCTGTAGCTAAATTTTCATCCATTAGAATTATTTTGGCTATTGTTGCATATTTTGATTTGGAGTTATTCCAAATGGATGTTAAAACTGCATTCCTTAACGGAGAGTTGAAGGAAGCAATATATATGCAACAACCTGAAGGTTTTCAGGTGAAAGAACAGGAACATAAAATTTATAAATTAATGAAATATCTATATGGTTTAAAACAGTCTTCTAGATAATGGTATCTCAAATTTATCACCTATCACAAACAACAGTCTTCTACAATTTATCACCTATCACAAACATAAGAAACACAATTAGGACAATTACAATAAATGCAAAACAACAGTTTGGAAACTTCCGACTAATCTCTTGCATCTCCTTCTTCATTGAAAGGTTTTCAAATTTAAGTTGATTATTTTCATTTGCAAGCTCCTTTAGTTCCTCTTCCATCTTCTTGCTCATCTCTAGAAGCTCCCCCTTCATTTTCTTCTTCTCAGCCATTAGCATATTCATCAATTCCTTTGGCCTCCCAACAATCTCACAATCATACCTCATATAAAAATCACATATTTTATCGCAAATTGAAGGACTCGAGAAATGTCAACTAAAAAATCTTCTCCCTCGATTAGCTTCAGTATACGAAGTTGGCATTGAAGCTCTCAATTTGCATTGGCACAAACCGCTCATGGATCTTCCATAAGATTATGAAGAAGCAGCTTTTGAATATTCAGTAGTCATTGATAACCAACCTTGGTTAATTGAAACAAAAACACAAGGGGTAAAAAATTTTAAACAAAAACTGAAGGAACAAAGAAAGCTCTAAATCTAGGGCTAGGGCAAAGTTTAATTTTGGAGGAATTGAGATTGAGGGCACGTGAGATTCATGCGGCCTTATTGCACCTGGTTTTGGTTAGATGAGTTAAAGGGAGAGCATGAGAGACCCATATGAGGGAGTTGGAGCATATAATGCGTGCTTTTTAGGCTGAAAATAGAAAAATGTTTGACATTTCATGCATGTAAAGATGGTACTCATTTAAAAAACATTAAATGTGGTAAGTAGTAATTTGGATAAAAATAAATATGATTTTTATGTAAAACCCCAATTATTTACCATAAATGAGTCAGTCTGTTAGTTTTTCGATCCATTGTCCTAAATCATGCTAGGTTAGCGATTAATCCAACATGTTGTGTTTGCAGTAACGCAGCTGCATATTATACATGACAAGTAAAATTACGACAGCATTGTTTTTCTAAGCTAAACAATTTGAGCAAGATTTCATACATAATTAACAGGATCAGAGTTATGTACCAAGTAAAGCTAAATCAATTGAGAATAAAAAAGAATAGTAATTAAATCCATGATGATTTATACCGTCAGCACCCAGCGCCTGACTTGTTTGATGCCTTTCATTCCGTCTGCAATATATTACTGCACATAATCGATACAACTCAACCCTTCCATTTCCATAAGAAAATACAAACATATTATTACCCTTCATTTAAGGCCACACAGGGTTGACAATTAATCTACTCTTCCAATAAAAAAATGCATAAAATCCTATAAAAACCTAAATAAGAGGTTCAGAGAGTTCCATCTCATTAGTGTTCTCCAATACATCAGGCTGGTGTCTTACAAAGTTGAGTCCAAGCCATTTCCATGGCCAGCATACGTATCTGTGATTGTTCTGAGTGTTCATTGGACCAATCCTGTTATCAGATTCTTCGATTTGGCGACTCAGCTCCTCAACCCTTTCTCTTAGTCTTGCTGATCTTGAATCTGCTAGTTTCAGTGAGTTCTCTGCTGCATCTCTTGCAGCCAGTGCTGCAGCTGCAATCTCCTCTTTGAATTTGAGCTTGTTCTCTAACATAGACATGGCTTGCTTGGTCTCATCTAATTCTTGACGAAGAGCTGACAGCTGATATGTTGAAAACAAAATTTAATATAGCAAAGGAGTTGCAGAAAAAATTTGTTAGCTCAAATATATCATCTGAATTCCGCAATGATGACAAGAATCATGAAAGCATGTAAATCTCACAGTATGCTCCAATTCTTGTTAGGCAGCAGTTAGCTTGAAGGTGGAATTATTTTCAAGATTCAAGAATGACGAAAATAATAACAAGCAGCCTAAGAAATTTTACTAAACTGAAATATATGATGGTGAATACGTAGATGAACCACACTTCAACTTGGTTCATGCATAGTAAAATGCATGAGGACTCAAATACTCTTGAATAACAGTCAGGGAATGTGAAACTGGTATGCCATTCAGAGCTGATGTTGATATGCCATTCAGAGCTGATATCATTATTATGATGCGTTCAAAGATTTAAGGATTAAGTATCACAATGTTCGAAGTGGATCAGCGATTTGGTTATCAAGCATGTTTACAAATTTTAGGTTATAATTTTCATATAATCACCCACATGAAATATGGAACTGAAGGGAGCAGGGGCAGTCATTTTACATTAGTTTTCATGCCTTGCCGTCACAACATAGGCTTCTTGAAGACTATGGTAATTTTCAGCTTCTATTAGGGTTGTCCAAGAAAATATATGTAGGGCTACGTTTCAACCGGTCAAAAACATCATCCCATGTCAAATAGTGTTCTTTCTTTGATTTAGCAGGTTGTGGCCCAAATTCCACTCATCCAAACCCAGACCATGTACATGCTCCTGGTTGAGAGATTAGGGAGCCCTCAAGTCCTAAACCCTCCCTCGTCTTCGATCAGCTGCCAAGGTGAGTAACAGTGGCACCTCTTTACTGCTTGTTAATAGAGTCGGGGAACACTAACTGACAGTGAGCTATGGTCGAAGCTTGCGGCAAGTACGCGAAATCAAGCAGCAACGTCTTCATTGGGGCTATTTGGCGATACCAAGCAGCAAATGTCTTCATTGCAGCAATTCATGTTTTTTCCCCTTTCCTATTCGTTCTCACTCCAGCAGTTCTTTTCTTTTTCTTTTTTTTGACCTCTCTGACTCTGTGAAGTTCAATTTGAGTCAGAGGTCTCCCTCTCATGTGGGTGCGTGCATGCGTGCATGTGTGGGTGTGTGGGTGCATGTGACAGCTCTCTCTCTCTCGCTCGCTCACTCTTGCCCTGCATGAAGACAAGTTTTTTTAAATTCTCATCTATCTTTTGAATTCTACGAAAAATATGTACATTCTTGCTTCTCAGTTGGTAGAAGCATAGGTGCTGCTTGGTTCTCAAAAAATTTTGGTTGAATGTTATTTATTCATGTTTTCAATTTATTTAGTTTTTCTTGTAGAATTCCATTTGTCTTGGGTGATTAACTGTAAGAAGCATGAGTTATGACTGAATTTAATTGGATACTAAGGAAAAAGCTCCTCTAAACTTAAGTGAACTGAGGGGCCAACTTTTTTATCCCTTAGATTTTCTTTGAGATGCATGTTGATTGTGCATTATATATCAAAGACCCATCATATATTAGCACACATCTCAAAGTGAAACCAATGGGGAAAAAAGTAGGTGGACAGAGCCCTCAGTTCACTTAAGTTTACAGCAGCTTTCCTATATACATATATATGTGCATACATATACATATATATTTCTGTGCTTGTGAGGAGACCATATGACATACATAGGCAAAAGGGAGGCTATTTAATGTATCAATAACATTTTCTTTTCAGTAAATATGTTAAGTAACTTTGGGTTCTGTTTAGTCAACTTGCTCAATATATGTTTGGTGTAGATATTTGTTGTAAAATATGTATCACCAGTAATATGATCCTTATCCTTGCATAGATATTTATAAGCTTGTA